CACCGGGAATGGATCGGGAATGGACTGGGAATGGGGCATTGACTGGGAATGGGGTATGGATCGGGGAATGGACTGGGAATGGGGCATGGATCTGGGGATGCAGTGGGAATGAGGCATGGATCGCGGGATGCAGTGGGAATGGGGTATGGATCGGGGGATGCACTGGGAATGGAACACAGATCAAGAGATGGACTGGGAATGGGGTATGGATCAGGGGATGCACCGAGCACCAGGGCTACACTGGGAATGGGGCTTGGATCAGGGAATGCACTGGGAATGGGGCATGGATCGGGGAATGCACTGGGAATGGAGCATGGGACATGAACGAAGTGTGCACCAGGAATAGGACACAGACCTGGGAATGCACCCATCACCAGGGCTACACTGGGAATGAAGCATGAACCCAGGAATGCACCAGACATAGACAGGCACTGGGCATAGCCCAAGGACTGTGTCAGGCACTGCACTGGGACTCTAGCAGGTACCAGGACTGGACTGGGCATGGGGCACGGCCCTGGGACTGTACTTGGCACTGCACTGGAACTGCACCAGGCATGGCACCAGGCACGGGGCATGACAACAGGCACTGCACTGGGAATGGGGCATGGACCTGGGCATGGCACTGGGAACTACAGCACACACTCCACTGGGACAGCACAGGGCATGTCACTGGGCACTGCACTGGGCACCACACCTGGCAATGGGCATTGCACCCATTATGGGACATGGCACCAGTCACCGTGCTGGGCAGTGGATGCTGTGGACACAGGGTACTGCACTGGGCACCAGGCACAGCATGGGGGACTGGGCACTGCACTACGTACCAGTCACTGGGAGCTGCACCGGTTTCTGCACTGGGCACCAGTGCCAGAGCCAGGCTGGGTGCCAGCCATGCAGAGCCATGTCCCCAGCCCTTCCTACCCGCACTGGGGCAGCTCTGGCTCCACTGTTCACCCCTTGGAGCAGGCACTCCCTTCCCAGCCATGCTGCAGTGCCAGCAGCACCCAATCCCACCCCAAGGCTGTGGACACCACACTCAGTGCAAGGGACAATTTTAATCCAACATAAAACTTCCCAAAGATACGAACAGAGCCAGGTGCTGGGCAGGAAGACACAGTCCCCTTGGCTTTTAAGACATTTTCCACAAAAACATCCTTTTCCCATCATATCCACACCACCAGTGTGCAGCCAAGCCCCCCCTTCCCCGCAGTGCTGGTGGGCAGGGGTGCCTGGAGTCTCCCCAAAACCCTGCTACCTTCCCAAGGCCTTAATACAGACAGTGGAGGAAGAAGCAAAGGAAACATGGAGCAGCTCTGGTGGCTCGTTTCGGGGGGTTAACGGCCCCAGTTTAACGGGAGAAGCAGAATACGGAGCCTGGCACAAACCACACGTGCACAAAGTAATCCAACACGCAGCCCAAAAATCCACAGTGATGCCTGATGGCAGCAGGGTCAGCAAACCAGGGACAATCCCCCATCACCTCATGGTGTTTGGAGCACCAAGGTGGCAAACCACAGGGGGGAGGAAAAGCTGGAACATGCATTAATGAATGGAAACATTTATATCCTAGAAAATGGTAGAAATGGAGGAGAAATGCCAGGTTGAGTTGTAGTTTGTTGGAGAAAAAGCAACAGGGGCAAAGAAGGGGATGAAATTCCCAAATCACAAGTGAAGCAGCACAGGTGCTCACTGGGTTGGGGTGGAGTTTTATGGATGTCTATGCACTGACCAACCACCACCACTGGGATTTGGTGGCAGAGAAATGCAAAGAGCAAAAACTGACCCTAAAAATCCCATTAATTTTTGCATCTGGTTGTTGACCCTCTGGGGATGGTTCTGTTTTTTCCCACCTGGAATGGCTGATGGAGCCAGGTAACTCCAAATAAAAAGAATTAATCCTTTTACATCTGCTATATGCTTATAAAATGATCCATTTGCTCATCATCTGATGATCCATAAGCAAATAAAATCCCTCCTCTGCATCCCAGCCCGGAGCACCAGCATTTGGGGGATGTTCCTGTGGCTTTGGGGTTTTCATTTCAGATATTAGAGTTATCCTCCCAACAGGGATTTCTTAGGAGATTTGGAGTGTTTCCAGGTAAAACTCAGGTTAAAAAGGAGGGAAAAGTGAGTGGGTCTTTGCAAGGTTAGAAAACATGAGTGTTATCCGGCTGGGAGCTGGGAGACGCACGGAAAAGGTTGGGACTCCCGGAGCTGGGTTGGACCCTGTGACAGTCCTGCACTGCCCGTTTAGCTTATAAAAAGTAATAAATTAATTAAGGAATATTTGCATCGAGTCCTTTCTGTACACAAAGGTTGGGGCCCAGCCGGGGAAATACCACCACCGGAAAAGCTCCTGCGTCTCTATAAAAATATGAGCATCTCTCAGGGAGTACAAAAAGCCTTCGGGGGGGGGCAAAGTGCCAGAGCGCAGCCAGCCCGGCCAGCGCCAGCGTCCAAAGGGGCTCCGGGGGGGTTTTCTCATGGATATGCCACGTAGGACAGGGTTTTTGGGGAGGCAGTGGGATGCCACAGGGAGCCTGAACCATCCCTGGTGCCAGCGTGGGGCTCAGGCATGTTTGGCCCCACTCCAGGCGCTGCCCCGGGGTGGTGGGAGATGAGCCCCCGGCAGCTCCTGGCCCCGCGTTGGCAGTGCCGGCGATGCCCGTGGCAGTTGCCAGGGGCTTGGGGCTCCCCCCCCCCCCGGTTCG